CATCACTTTGGTTTTATGTTTATGCATATACATACGCAGACTTACACACAAAGATATATATATATATATATATATAAATGCGGCTTACGAAAATACCCAAATTTTTATATACTTACCATTATGTTAGCTATTGTATGGATATTTTAAACGGAGAAAGATTGGCTGCTTGTCTACTTGACTCGATACAGAATTTGAAATTTTATGAAGATGCGTACTTACTCCAGCTTCTATTATGTCTGCTAAATATCATGCCCGATGAAAGCTTGGCACATTTCCACATAAACCGAAGCAGGCTGTCTCAAGTCTTGCGTCAAACGAAATTTCATAGTAAAGCCCACCATTGTCTTCTGGTAAGAGTGACCTAAGGTCGAATAACTACCCAGTCATCAAGTCATTGACATGTTATGCTGTCAGAATGTTTTGGCCAAACTATCTTAGAGCCACCTTACAATAATTTTTCAACTTGACAAAATGGAAATTTCTTAAAAGAAAACACTACATTCCTTAATAAAATCTCAGTCAAATCATGTCGCTTAATGTGACTTAAGTAGTAATAGTTTTGCTTTCCCACAATGTAGTGATTAAGTTTAACTATGGTATTAAATTTCGCTTAACTTTCCCTTCCAAACGATTATCTCATACCGGGTGGATTGCATTTTCAATCCAGCCTAGTTTTTGCAGTCCTAACAGCAGGATTCGAATCCGGACGGGAATAATCTTAACAACATCCCTTTCCACTAAGCAGCCATGGATGCCAAAGGTTCATAGAAAAAATATAACATTTTAGGCAATTCAGGCTTCTTCTTCTTCTTCTTCTTGCCGTGGGGGTGTCAATTAAATTAGCAGTTATTTGTAGCTGCCCCGGCGATATTACTTATTTTTATTATAAGTAGATTTCGAGGCTATCAGCAATAATTGTTTAAGATTTAATGACTGATAATTTGATTTATTTATGAGCTGGTAGGACAAGTAATTTTTCAAACTAACCCTCCTTCGAACCATTTTTGTCAAGATTTTGCAATATTGTAAAATTAAGATAAGCTTGGTCATTGTTTTTTATCTAAAAAAAGCATTGTATCCTTTACCTTCCTGCAGGGTATGGGCACAGTACTCCAAAAACTCTAGGTGGTAAGCTTTTCTGCATGGCGTATGCGATGCCGGGCATTCCACTCTGCATCGTGATGTTTCAGAGTATCGGCGAACGAATGAATACCTTCATCACTTGGCTCCTCAAACAGACCAAACTGGCGTGTCGTTGTCGGACGAGAAATGTCTCACAGACCAATCTGATCTTGATCAGCTCCAGTCTCGGCATGACTGTGCTAACAGCAGGCGCCGCCGTCTTCTTTCGCTACGAAGACTGGACCTATCTGGACGCTTTCTACTACTGCTTCATCACCTTAACCACGATCGGGTTTGGTGATCTCGTAGCCTTGCAACGCAACGATTCGTTGGCCAAAAGGCCTGATTATGTCGCCTTCAGCCTAATCTTCATTTTGTTTGGACTCACAGTCGTCAGTTCGGTGATGAATTTGCTCGTTCTCAGATTCCTCACTATGAATACCGAGGACGAACGCCGGGATGAACTCGAGGCAGCAGCACAAGAACAAGACTTGCAGCGTCTCCATGGTGACGTAATCTACGCCAGTATTGCGCCGCCAATGGTGGCAGGTGCCTCGTCTGGGCTGTTTAGAGCGCACGACTTCTTGGACAACGTTGGTCTTGTAGGGCCAGTCAATCTGAATCTGGGCGGTGGAGTTGGGGCTAGACACCATATGTCTGAGACTGGCGGTTGCTATAGCCTACTGCTTCCACCACCCTATAACTGCGCCGGACCGCGAGGTTGCTACGTAACAACTCGACCGAATGCTGGCGCCTACGGTCAATTGCATGAAGAGGCTAGACCATGCGAGTCAAGAAGCGCCAACCGACAGACTGGTACAGCAAGAGAAGATGAAGAGGATGAGCCGGCTCTGACGAAGCAGAGGCTGGCGGCAAATGCAAATCTACCGGCCGATCGAGTAAAAGCAAACTACCGACCTCCTGACAAGCTGAACAGTCGACTATCCTCAGGACTTGGCACGACTGCAGCAGTCACAATTCGCTCGACCTCCTTTTTCTACGCTTCAGCCGTCTGCTTTCAGGGCCTTCGACACGTCTGGACGCTGATCTTCGGCTGGTTCTCCTGTTTGTCCTCATCATCCAGAAACAAGGCTGTATTAGCGGCCCGATTCTCAGACGCCATGGTGTCACCAGCGTCTAGCAGAAGCGCTGCAGACTCTCTAGATCACCGGGTCTCAGAGGCTTTGGCAGCAGCTGAAACTGTACTACCAGCCTACCAATGCCGACCTGGAAAAGTGGCATCAGGCCATCGCGAAGACGTCGACTGCGACCCATCCAATGACCATTCGGTAAAGGAAGTTGATGTCAACAATCATGGCAGTGGAAATGTTCGCGGCATACCGGAAGTCGAGTCAATCAAGTTTGGTACCAATCGGCTGGAACAGATGGGTGCTCCAACAAATGGTGCGAACCGAATAGTGACCAAACTCAAGTCGACGAACCCACACAGTCGTCTTCAGTTTCCCTCGATTACGACACAGAATGATGGTGAATATCAGCTTGCCCATATGCAATCAGAAGTGGAATTAACGGCAAGCTTGCCGAAGGATTATCAGGGCGGTGATAATGATTGTTGTAGAAACAGACAACAGAACCCCAGCGGTGTTTGGCGGAAACACCAAGTTCCTCCCGTATCAGCAGAAGTTTGGGATTCGATTGCTGACCAAATTCATCAGCTGCGAGTTGACCGAACTCAAGAGAGTTGCTCTTCCAAATCGCCTGGACGCTTTCTGTTCACGGAGGTTTCGGAGATCCCCATCGCCTGCCCCAGCCATCAGCCCAGGGTAATCATCCAGCCATTTTAGCATTCTCAATACAGACTAGCAATAATACTCAGAAAAACAATATACAAAATTATAATATATTTTGATATCCAATCGTAATTATTCGAATGACTAGCAAATGGATGCCAAAAATGATTCTTAGGCATCAACCTCAATATGAATACTGTTTATATCTTCCTTCAAAACTATAGTCATATTTTATAGCATTTTTATGCTCATATACAATATTATTGGCATTATAATACAATATACGAATATTATATATATATATATATATATATATATATAT